GAGATTTTGGGATCGTATAGGAACAAGATAACATCTCCATTTCCTCTCTCTATCGAGCTCTTCAGATTTTTCACGAAATTTGGAACGAACATGATGAAAGATAAAAAATTTGATCTACACCGTGAGATTCAGTTAATCTTGACCGTCGAATGCCAACCATATCCGGATGGGGAGAGAGTCAGAAAAATTGCGGATGGCCCAAATCACACGGAAACATAGCCAGGCCAATGCTTAGTAGGGTTGGGCTGGTGGGAGTAGTATTGGATCAGTTGGGCCGTTTTTTATAGCAGCTGGTAATCGCAAATGTGGATACGATACTTAGTTTCCAAGGGTAAAAAAGTGCGTCATACAATTTCCGGTCTTAAAACTGAATAATATCTCCTCGAAGATTTAGCTTTGGAGGTAGGAATGCACAAAAACATCAGTATCCGGAAATATATGCATCTGTATTCTTTAGGATATGGATATTGTCGCTAAAATATATAAACGATAAGATATGCATGGTTACGGAAATGGGTTATAGTTGAATATCCAAATTAAATATCCAAACATATATTGATTACACTGTTGCAAAAGTTTTAATATTTAAATTAATTGATTTCAGGTTAATTTTAATGATCAAGATATCTAATCTTTAGAGATATTCAACTTTAGCGTATTTTTAAATATTATCTAGTTTTCTCATGTTTGTTTTGTATCTGAATGTATATTTGCATGGATATTAGTATTCTCACCTGATTTTTTTTTTTTTTTGGTAAATGAAAAATTTATTCATTTTCCAAATATTGAAATACAGCACAGCAAAATCTCAGGACCTGAGAATACAAGAGAAGCTCTGTGTCAAAGAGCTCACAAACTCAACAAGTTACAAAGAACATATCCAAGCTCTGCAAGAATCCGAAAAGCTGTTGAGAACATTTGATAAAATGCTAATCTTTATCTCCTTGAACACTTGATCAGAGGACTTATATTTCATCTTGAAAATTCTGGCATTCCGTTCAATCCATATACTGTAAATTGTCGAGGTAAAAGCCATTCGTTTAATTTTTTGTTTGAATCCCCTTCCCCTTAACCTGAAGCAATACCGGGAGCAAATTTGAGACCAAATGCATGACCTCCACTTAAATTGCAACCATTCCATCACCATATTCCAAACACTCTTCGAAAATGGGCAATCAAAAAAGAGGTGATCCCTAGTTTCATGGTTGGAAACAGAGCATAAGGAGCAAGTATTGCTATTCACAATCCCCCAGTTGTTAAGCATGTCTTGAGTAAGGAGATGATTTTGCATTGCTAACCAGCTGATGAAGGAATGTCTGGGAATGTTTGCAGCATCCCAGATTGTATTATACCAAGGAACTGAACCCCTGGATCAGGAGATAGAGCAGTATATAGAGCTGAAATTTTAATATTTGAGTTCCTGCAGCAAGATTGAATGAGAGCCTTCAAACTATCAACTCCATTATATAACCTCAAAGCTTTATCTCTAATCTTCAAAATCTGTTTCCATATCAATATCCGTCTACGTGATTAGTAACTAGATAAAGCTACCATAAGTATCATATCTGG